AAGTCCATAACAGTTGGTAAGTCACATGCCCTCACTGCCCTCACTTCATCTTGGTTATTTCACAATTATGTTGGTGCATTTCTGTTGGTTTCGCTTTCATTCAGGCTCTCATTTGCTCGAATATTATTATTTTACTTTAGATTGCAATTCAATCTTTGATTGCCTTGTCTGCACTTGTTATGTTTTTCACAAGACTCCTTCGTACCAAGTGTTGTTTTTCGGATTTAGGTTTTGGCATCAGTTGCAGTAGCAATTTTTGTACTTCATGGAACAGGGGACTCGCTGGAAAAAAGAATGGAAATATGAAAGTTTGTTTCTCTTGTTTGTTCTGGACATACAACGTCCCACTAAGTCTCAGATATGATGATTGGTGGAAATTAGGCTCAGGTAAATTAGGCGATTCCAAAAGGTATTTTAGGAATTGTTAAGTGTGCAGTTCTCAAGGTCATGGGAAAAGGCATGAAAGTCAAAACTCTGAGGTTGAAGGGTGATGATCCTTTTTTGGGGATAGAAACGGTGAAACTAGGAGGATTTTTCAGGATTGTTCAGGGGTAGGTGTGCTTGTGGTAGAGTTAGTTTTATGTCAACTCTTTGGGCTTCTGTCAATGTAGAGTTCAGGGAGTTATCCATGCATGGCAATCGCCAGCATGGTTGCTGGACTGGGAAGTTGCAGCAAGTTGTTTGAGTGTGGTTTGAAGCTTGAATGTCTGGTCTTCTAATTTAACTTAATTGTTTTGCTGCTGTAAATTTGATAATTTTCGTAATAAGATTTTGGTTTCTTCTCAGAAAAAAAATTAAAGAGGAAGAAGAGTGGTAACTTTTACTTTCCCATAGAAGGGAGATTTATTTAGTTCTTCAGAAAGCATGTCTACTTGTGTTGCCCAGACGTACAAGACCACCAGAGAAGAGAATTACTGAGTACATGATAGTAATGTTGAGTTTCCATTGTTATATTTCTTTAATTGCCTATGAGCTATGCTTTTCTTATTTTGATTTACAGAAACTAAACATGTGTTCTGCACAAGTAAAAGAGATTGGGGCTTCACATCATTCATGCCTTCTTTGTGATGTCGCCCAAGGGTTTATTGTGAGTGATACATGTGTTCTTGAAGCTGAGGTTGCTTTCAGTCAGGTTGACCATATGGCCAAAGTCCAGGATACTTGGTTTCGTCCTCCTATAAAGCCCTCACACCATGAAGATGAAAGGCAAGGGTATTCAGATGTGGAAGCTGTACAACTTACAGCACCTATTTCTGAACAGGTGCTTGCTTTTCAGGATGCACCAAGTTCTGAACAGAAGCAAACAAATGCTTATTTTGAGCAAGTTCTAATCTCTTCAGTAGCAGTTATGACACCTAGTTCTGCTCAAGTGCTGGCCTTGTGGGACGGACCAAGTGATGGACAAATTTGGACTGGGGGTGACGATAGCCCTGTGGGATCTCCGATAGGCAAGGAACATGAGCAAAAATCCTCTGCCCCAGTTGGCGAGCTCATGGATTTCAGGGGTTTAGGGAAAATAGACAAAGCTTTTGTTCCATTCCTGGAGGAAGTCTGTTTGTTGCATCCTTCATTGATCGAGTGCCAAAGGAAGAGGAGTCCTATGTTTACTGAATGGGCATTCACAGCTTTGGGTAGACTCCTGCATGTTCTAAAGACTAACAAGGGTACAGATATGAAGAAGTTTGTGGAAAGGGAGCTAGAGGTAAAAGAGCTGAGAAATAATATGGATGCTTTGGAGATTGAAGTCAAGAGGTTGAAGGCTAGGCTAAATTTGGCAGAGTTAGATTTTGAGGATGCGAAAAGAGACATGGGAGAGGCCAAAGAAAGCTTTGTTGAAATAAATATGGATAGTGAGCTTGGTTATGGTGGGAGGCATTAGCCGTACTGCTTCTCCCTTCGATGTGAAAACCATATGCAATGTATATATGTATTACAGGCAAAACTCCCTTGTTAAGGGTGATCCTGTTTTTAAGCCACGGTGAGGGAGAACCCCCTCCATTGCAATTTTTTTATGAACCAAACCCCCTCCATCTGAACACCATCAAAATCCCTGTTGTGGAGAGCTCCAATACTATTGAGCGGTCACTTGTCAACCGGTATGAGAATTTTCACCTTAATTTGATGTCAAGTATTTTGCTTATGTGGGTTTAATTTTGATGATTTAGGGTCGTTAAATTCGTTGAAAATCTTCTTGGTCTTCCTTCTGTTCTTGCTGCTTGTTTTTATTCCCTTTCTCCATCGGTTTGACTTAATTCTTGTGGCACAAGGGCATTAAGTATTATATTTCAGGGCTTTTATCGAGAGCCCTGAAAACTGCACGGTATGAAAAATTTAGTCATGTTTACTCTGCTTAAAAAATGCAGGCATCATAGTGCTTTTTATGTCGGACGGCCAGATTCGGGGAGTAAGCGACGCTGATCGCTGAACTGAGCAGACTGGAATTCGTCAGTGTCTAAAGTTGAAGTAACTGGGGAAGAGCTTTGGAGGAAGGCAACATTGTAAATGATTGTATCACAACCTTAGCTGTACTTGCAGTGTTTTTATGTAAATATTTTTTAATATTCATGAGTATGCAGAAGCAAGGTTTCAAAGGCATTGGTCAGGAGGCGGGTAGGGGCAGGGGCCTAAGGCCTAGGCGTCAACACTCTGCTTAGTTCGTTGTGAGACTTAACTCACTTTTTTATCCCTTAATGTAGATTGGGTCAGCCTGGCAAGTGCGAGTAGGGTGATCATCTGGTGCCCCAAACAATTGGGGGCACAAAAAATATTAAGCGGTATATTCATATATGTTCTCATAAGAGTATAAAGGGTTTAGGGTGGTATATTCATATATGTTTTTATAAGAGTATAAATTTTTAAAATTTGATTAAATGATTAAGAAGTTTAACAAGAGATGGTTTCTACTCCTTAAAATTAAGCTGGTTATGGGTTCAAAATCAGGTGTTTTTCTTTATTTTATAGGAGTATATATTTACAAAATTTTCAAATTTTATGAATTTCTTTTTAAAGGAGTATAAATTTAAAAAATTTGGTTCAATGAACAAGATGTCTAATAAGAACTTGTGGTTTTTGCTAATTAAAATCAATGCGAAGGTTTTGGGTTCAAAATGTAATGTGTGTGTTTTTTCTTTCCAACTTTTATGGACTTTTGTTTGGTTGTTAATTTTTATTTACCTCATGTTTGATTATAATTACTAGATAGTAGTTATGTGGGTTGCAAAGTCTAACCATCAACAAAGAGTAATACTAGGTAAACCAAATTTGCAAACTATATGACGTGTCACAAATAGAAAATAAGTATGTTAGTCAACATTTAAGTAATAATTCAATACAAAATCACATTATATGGTTTACAAAATTTGATTTCAAAATTTGGTCTCCTAGCATTAGCCTTCAATAAATTAATGTATATATGTCTTTGCCAATACTAGGTTTAATTTGGTCTTCATTCATTGCTTATACATTAAGACTCAAAAATATGATTATTATTTTAGTCCCATATTGACATGGTTAGTAAATAAGAAAAACACCTCACGATTCATATAAAAATAATTTGAAAGTTTAGATAAACGGAAACAAAATTCATCATCTATCTACTTGTAAGCCTGATGTTTTTTGGTTATCTTTTCTCATTACAAAATAAATTGGTTTTTATGTGTTTCTAAATTATTGAGTTTGAACTTTGAAGTGGTTTTCTAAGTATAATTTTATCGAAGTCTTGTGTGTGAAAACAAATAATTTTTATTATCCTAAAGTTAGGGCATGTTTTTGGCATTGCCTGGAGCCTTAAAACTCTTAGGACTGGCCCTAAGTGTAAATAATATCGTATTATTTAATAAAAACTTGGCAATGCCTACTCATGCAATATGTTGGAATTTTTTTTTTTGAGCAAACGATACGATATTATCGTATGTTGGATGTTGAAATCCCACATCGGTTGGGTCTCTAAGAAAAGAAGTGTTTAAATATCTTAACCTCATTCCAATTAATATCAAGGCTTTTTTTGTGATAAAATCCTACACTTGAAGGATTATGCAGGTGGTAGTCATCAGGTTGCGGACAATATCGATATCGTTGGAAGTGAGCATTTGACTCGTTTCTTTGATAATTTTGTACTTGGTAACAAGGCTAGGGAGCTGGCCAGTACGTAATGCCGTATGATGGGTGGGTCCCCTTGGCCCACATGATGATGCTGGCCCCTTGGCCTTGCGTGTTGGGTAAGTTCCATTAGCTCCACGTTATTGCCGATGCGTGGATTTCCCACTTATCAACATGTTACCTGATAAATAGATGAACAAGGTGTTGTCGGTAAATAATAAAATTTTTACAATAATTCTAAACCATTTCTGATTTGAGTACATTTTGACAAAGTTAATCTATGAATAATGACATGAAAAATGAATAGTTAAGGTTATGAGATTAATTTATGCAACACACTCAAATTAGTAGTTAGCGCCATATTAAGTTACTAAGTGGTTAACACTCAAGCAATGGTAGATAAACCACTTGCATGTCGACTAACAAAACCAAGGTCAGCCTTATCTCCATCAAAGTTTAGTTTGAGCATCTGACTCGCCGGAGTTATCCATTTGATGATAGGGATATGATTTTGTATAGGTCTCACATTGGTCATCCTGTTTGTCCTTACCCACCAAAGCACAGCAATCATCATTAGTATCTTAGCTGGGTGGTAGGATTTGTAATTCCGGAACAGCAGGTCATAACTTTTTGCTCCATTTAAAAATGGTAGTTTTAATGAAACATTTCCGGTACTGTTTACTTTTAATGAAAAATCATATTTTTACTTTTTCTTGATACTATTTACTACACATGTATTTGTCTTTTTTCATTAAAACTAAATATATTTAAATTTTTCATTAGTTTTCTTTTTAAAATTTGGATTTAACCAACAACGCCGGACCTTCATGTATACCTTCGTCACTAGGTAGGCATAGTGCGGTCTCATTAGTATTACTCTACAACAAAAAATAGAACGTAAAGTCCATCTCAATATGATGTTTACATTTTATTTATTTTGTTTACTAAAAACTGAGGAGAGCATCCAACCCATTTGAATATAATACTGTGAATACCTTGACAGCCATGCCACAACTAGTTCATATTATATATATATACACACACAGTATAAAGACACACCATAAAGAACAAGTTTCAGCTGTGTGATAATTTGGTGTTTTCTTGTTTAGTTTGTTGCTTTTGAGTTGCATAATAAAATGGAGAAAAAGCAAGTTGGGGAGCTTGTATCTGTGACCTTCACATGGAGGATTGAAAAATTCTCAAGGTTGAGACCCCAGAAGCATTACTCTGAGGGTTTCGCCGTCGGTGATTTTAAATGGTACGTATGTTTTAGTTTCTCCTCCGATTGAATCAATGACATTCTTCAGTTTCTTATATCCCTATTTTTCGGTTTGACCCAAAAAAAAAAACAAATTACAACGAAGATCAACCACATGTCAAGGTTTAATCTAGAAATTACTGAACAAGAAGAATTACTAAACCAGATATGATAACCAAAAGTAGCAAAGCCATCATGTTCGCTTTCAGATAGATGCATGTAATAATAACATGAAAAATTTACTTGTGAAGATGCTAGCTAAATCATTTAGCCTAATAAATGTCTTTTTTTTTTTGGTTGTTTATCTCAGGCAGATCGTTGTATATCCAAAGGGAAGCAGTGGAAATCCCGGAAAGCACGACCTGTCAATATATTTGAATGTCGCAGATGCTAAAACATTGTCATCTGGGTGGAGCAGATATGCCCAATTCACCTTGACCGTCGTCAATCAACTTGACAGTGATAAGTCCATAACATTTGGTAATTTATATACACTCCACACTCTTCATCTTGTTTATTTCACGTTTGTGCACTTGTTGGTGTTTCTGGCACTCAATCTTTGATTGCATTCTATGCAGTTTTTACTTTTCATTTTTCACAAGACTTCCGTACCAAACAATTGTCTGTCGGCTTTAGGTTATGGCATCGGTTGCAGTAGCAATTTTTCTATGACAGAAATGTTTTGTAATCCGCCGTTGTTTGATTGTACAGAAACTAAACATGTGTTCAGCGCAAGTAAAAGTGATTGGGGCTTCACATCATTCATGCCTCTAAGTGAACTTTCTGATTGCACCGAAGGGTTTCTTGTGAATGATGCATGTGTTCTGGAAGCCGAGGTGGCTGTAAGTCAGGTTGACTACACGAGTGCTTCTGAAGTCCATGAAACTTGGTTTTTTACACCTACAAAACCCTCAGAGAACGAAAATGAAAGGCAAGGACATTCAAATGTGGACGCTGTGCAATTTCCACATGTGCTTGCTTTTCTGGATTCACCAAGTTCTGCACAAAAGCAAACAATTGCTGATTCGTTGCAAGCTCCAATCTTTTCAAAAGCACTTACGACATCCAGTTCTTATCAAGTGCTTGCTTTCCAGGAAGAACCAAGCTCTGAACAATATTGCCCTGAGCCCAACGATAGCCCTGTTGAATCTCCCATAGTCAAGGAACATGAGCTAGCACACTCCACCCCACTTGGTGAGCTCATGGATTTCCAGGGTTTAGGGAAAATAGACAAAGATTATGTTCCATTTCTAGAGGAAGTCTGTTTGTTGCATCCTTCATTGATCGAGTGCCAAAGGAAGAAAAGTCGTGTGTTTACTGAATGGGCATTCACAGCTTTGGGTAGACTCCTGCACTTTTTGAAGACTACAAAGGGTAAGGATATGATCGAGGATCCCTGTGAGGAGCACCTTCAACTTTTATGGGAGGAGCTTGGAACCTTCAAATTGGACTTGGCTTGGTTGGAGCCTCATGTTCAGTCTGCTTTGGGTATGAAGAAGTTTGTGGAAAGGGAACGACATGTAACGGAGCTGAGAAATAATGTGGATGCTTGGGATATTGAGATCAAGAGGTTGAAGGCTTGGCTAACTGTTGCGGAGGTAGAATTTGTGGTTGCGAAAACAGACATGGGAGAGGCAGAAGAAAGCTTTGTTGCAATAAATATGGATAGTGAGCTCGGTTATGGCGGGAGGCATTAGCTGTCCTTGCAGAATTCTCTCTTTTATATGAAAAAAACACATGCAATCTATGTATTACAGAATTCTCTCTTTTATATGAAAAAAAACACATGCAATCTATGTATTACAGGCCAAACTCCCTTGCATGTTAGATGAATGTGTTCATGTTTCTTAACAATGGAGCGGGAATGCCCCGCCATTTCAGTTTTTGTTCTGAATCAAACTCCTCCAGCTGAAGTTAACTCACTCTCACTCCCCTTCACCCATCTTAACAATAGCAAAACCTCTGTATGTGGTGAGTGTTGGCGTGAGTCAACGTCCTAGGAGGATTAGGAATATAGGCAATGTCCTAGGAGGATTAGGGATGTAGGTGTGTTTCCTACTTTGATTGTAAATCGTTTAATATTCCTTGTATCACAAGGATTGGAGTTGTATATAGACCTTCCAACGGGAGAAGAAGAATAATACAGAGAATTATTAGAACTTTAAACTACAATTTTATCTTGGTACCATAGCAGGTTTAGGCTTGTCTCTTCTTCCTCAAACCTTAATCCCAGTGTACTGCCAACGTGAAAGCTTCCGTTGATTGACTAAGACCCCGACTGCAAGGTCTCGAGACAAGAGACGTGCACAGAAATCCCAAACCCAGAAAAGACAAAGAAAACCGAAACCACAACCGCTACTGCTATGGCTGAAGAAAGGGCCGTGATTCCAGCCACGGTCCCGACGTCGAGTTCGAATGAAATCCCAAATCTGGGTGCTTTGCCGTTTTGGATTCAAGTTAGGGGATTCAAACTACAAAATTTGGTCAAAGATGATGGAGGTACATGCCGCGGGTTTGAACAAGATGGGATATCTCAATGGGCAGATTTCGGCTGTGGAAGAAACCGATCCTGGTTTTTCTAAATGGCATACAGAGGATGTTATCGTCCGGGCTTGGTTACTGAAAACCATGGAGCCGCATCTTATATGGCTATTTATTGACTTACCGAGTGCTCATGATATTGGGGAAAGCATTACTAATATGTTATTTGACGGAGCTGACGAATCTCAGTGTTATGAGTTGAGGTGCAAAGCAACAAGGACAAAACAGAACGGACACCCAATAAATCTATACTTCGCAGAACTAAAAAGCTTGTGGCAAGATGGACAAGCGACGTCCAAATAGAATGATATGTGCTGCTGATTTGAGGAGCAGAAAAGAGGATCTTCAAAAGGATAGTCCTGCAAGAATGATTTTCTTGCAGGACTAGATGACTCCTTGGATGCAGTTCGCAACACTCTCTTACGAATGAAGCCCGTCCCTGGAATAGAAGAGTGCTTCAACACCATTCGGCGTGAAGCACAAAGAAAAACCACCATGCTTGGAGGAAAGGACAGTGATAGTGGCCCATCTGTGGCCATGGTCAACAAACCTGCCTAGAAATCAACGAGGTCAGGGAAAAACAAATAGAAGAGCCGCACAAGCCAAGGTTGCAAACTCGGGCCTTGGGCTTGCAGCATTGATTTCCAGCAGACCAGACACTTCAATTCAGCTTGTTGGGCTGGTTGAGCCTAAAGCCCAAAGCCTGGTGGGGCAGAAATCACTTGAAGGCGCTAGCAAAACCGCTGACGTTAGCGAAGCAAACGTCCTGGGCCCATCTGTAGACTTCAAGCAGATTATGGAATCGCACCCGGACAACTTGGCCCATCAGCTATCTCTATTAAATTCAATTGCCTCGCAAGAACAAAACAACGATTCATGTAACACGGGCATAGCCTTAATTTCATCCGATAATTTCAATACAGGTTGGATTATTGACTCTGGCGTTACTAATCTCATGACCTTTGACCATACCCTTTTCAATTCCACAACACACTACTAGAAATTTTCACTTTGTCGACAAAATTAGTTTGTCTGCAAAAGTAAAAATTCGTCAGCGAAGAGCCTTTCCCAATGAAAATTTTTATCGGCAATTTTGTCGCTAAAAGCATGTCGCGCAAGATCTTTCTTGACAAATCTTAATATTTCGTTGGCTCATTTTTAAGGCGACAAATCTCAGCCGTCAAACTGTGCTCGTCACCAAAACAACATTGTGACAAAATATTTTGTCAACACAGGCTGTTTTTTCACAATGAAGTTATTTGTCGGCTTAGTGATCTTGCCGCGACAAAACATTTTGTCGGCTAAGTAATCTTGTCGCGACAAAATGGTTTTTCGGCTACGTAGTCCTATGCCAACAAACTGGTTTGTTGGCTCAAATTACTTGTGTAGACAAAATAATTAGTTGGTTGAATCTTTTGTGAACAAAAACATTTGTCAGATAATTGTTTTTGTGCCGACAAAACATGTCAAGTCCAATATTTTCTAATTTTTATTCACATTTGTTTTTAATAATATTTTTAACCATCACAAACAAGCAAGCTTAAGAGATCGAGAAGGGGCGTGAATGAAGAATTAATGTAGGAACAACATAAAATGTAATATAAAATAATGTAACGTTTACAATTCGATTTAGTTACAAAATACAAAAAAATCTATATTTTCATTTCAACATTAGTATAATATAGATAAAATATCCTTAAGTATCACCATTCTCACTATAGTCCTCATCACGTTGATATCCAGCATCATGAAATTGGGAAATGATGAGGATCATCATGAAACATTCCAGTATCAAACAACTGTAGAAGAAAAACAAATTAAAAAAAACTTGATTAGCAAACTTTAAGGGTGCTAAATATCATTGACACTAAGGAAATGCAAGGCCACACTAGAGTGGTATTTCTAAACAAATAACTTATGAAACCATAAATGTGTAAACAACAAGATAAAGATATCTACTAATCAAGTTAACTTACCAACACCATGCAGCATCACAACCTAGAAAAATTACATGTTTAATAGATACCAGGTAATAATCAAGTTAGCATCAACTACTTATATGTAATTCATCACTGTAAACAACAAGATAAACATAATAGCAAGGCAACATGATTCTCACACTCTGTAAACAAGGCAACATGATAAGTAGATGATATAAATCCTTGAAAGGTCTATAATGTATATAAACATAACACTACCAACCTAGCTAAGTAGGTTATAACTCTAGAACATAAGCATATGCACCTGGAAACATAAATAAACGATACTAAAGCATCCTAATTTATCACCGTTTATAATCTTTATCAGTGTAAACAAGAAGATATAGACATCTACTAATCAAGTTAATCCTCAAATATCAAAATTACCTAGTGCGAATGATCCTCACACTGGTCTCCATGCCATGCTGATACCAGTTGTAAGCTATCTAGCTCAAAATTCCACTTAGCCATAGACAACATGCAAGTGTTATAGAAAGGAAAAACAAATATGTCAAACCTAAACCACAATATCGAAAAATTACATTGGAAATTTGGAATTAAAGTCAAAGGACATTGTTTTTACCAATATTATACAAATGGATGCCCAAATCAACCAAACATTGGAACCTAGATCGTTGATTACATTCATTACATGATCATTATCACTTCCTATTTCATTAATAGGTCGCGACACTGGTTGTGGGTTTGAACAACTTGAAACAGTTCTCAATCGTTCCCCATGATGAGTCCATGTAGTATAATTGAATGACATTCCATATCTACCAAAATCTTGCCGAATTTCTCTCAATGACTTCAATCTACAGTTGTTGCAATTCTGGCTTGGGCACTTAGTATAACCCTCAGCGTTGACATGTTTGCTTGCCGTTTTCAAAAATTCTGAAATCCCATTTAAATATTCCCTACTCACTCGATTCGGATTTCGTATCCATTCCCTGTCCATGGCATATAAAGTATCTACTCCCTGTTTACAAATTTAATTTTACATGCAACATTCATTAGGACCAGCAATCAAACAATGAATAAGATAGGCTGAGGGTGACGGTGTAACAACATACCTTACCAAAGAAAGCAGCTAGCCTAGAATATAATCAGATTCTTCAGTATATAAGCCCAGCCTTGTAACCGCCATCTGTATAGGAAAATTGAACAAATTTAGAGAGAGAGATATATATATATATATATTTATATTCCAGTAAAAAAATTGAATGGAAGGTAAAACAATTGCAGATAAGAATTAGAAAGGGAAGAACCCACAATATACTCGCAAAAGAATCGAAAAAGAAAAATGAAAACCCTAAGAGAATTACACAGAAAATTGATGGGTTTATATATTAGAACGTAAATTGAAGATGACAATTAGGAGGGAAAACCCTTTTTTAGGCTTTGACTTTGACGATGGTTTCGATTTCCACCGGAAGGAGGCTGTCAGTCTATCTATTTGCAGCGACGAAGATGGAGGTGGAGAGGGAGAGGGGAGGGAGAAGGAGTGGGACGGAAAGAGATAACTGCTTCGTGCGCTTCATTCTTAATTTTTTTTTTCCTACTCCGCGCGTCTATGTTGATACCGCTCTTTTATCCCGCGCCCACGCCTCCTTTTAATTTGTTAAATAGTGTTTTCTTAAAGTTTAGAATTGTGAGTGACATGCATGGTACATTCAAATAGCACTGGCTAGCAATTCGTGCAATTAAATTTTGTCTTCTATTGATTTCTAATTTTAATAGAGGGTTCTGATTTGATTTTTTTTGTTATGTATAATCTTTAGTTGTTATGTATAATCATTAGTAGTTATGTGCTTTGACCCTAACAATTATCTTTACAAATCATTCATATCATACATACCATTAAATTTTTTAAGTGTTATACGTACAAAATAAATAAATTTAAATCTACTTAATAAATATATATATACACACACACCATTGAACTTGATAGGATACAAATTCTACGAAACTAATTTGAACGATCCAACCGTCAAACTTATTTGTATATCCATCGAGATCGCATCACCAAAAAATCGCAAACAAAAAACCATTCAAAGATCAAGTAACGGGACAAAACTTTTCGACGGTTATCAATGAAAAATCATGATTTAAAGGTTATTTTAACTCTGATTTTGATGATTTTTACAGCTACACTCCTTGACCCTATACGAGTACAATGAATGAACTCGATCTTCAATTTAAAATATTTACAGTAGTGGATACCACAAAATCTTATGTTATACTTAATGAAAGTATGAATAAACTCTTAAGTGTTAGTGAATCTATTATTTTGATGGGATACGCATTCTACGAAACTAGTTTCAACGATCCAACCGTCAAACATGTTTGTATATACTTCGAGATCGCATACGCCAAAAATTACAAAAAACAAACATTTAGAGATCAAGTAATGGGACAAAACTTTTCGACGGTTATCAACGAAAAATCACGATTTAACGGTTATTTCAACTCCGATTTTGATGATTTTTTACAGCTACACTCCTTGACCCTATACGAGTACAATGAATGAACTCGATCTTCAACTTAAAATATTTACACTAGTGGATACCACAAAATCTTATGTTATACTTAACGAAAGTATGAATAAACTCTTAAGTGTTAGTGAATCTATTATT